AAGCTGATGTAAGTTAGATAATTACTGAAAACCGAAAGGAAATTAATATCCATTCTATTGCAGACTCTTCATCAAATCCGACTTATGACATCATAAGATACATTTATTATTTGCGAAAAATATCATAACATTTTTTTAATATTCTAAGAACTGTGAAGACCAAGCAGTTCATAGAAATCTGTAGGTTTTGCATGGAATTTTAAGTAGAATATAATTCTTTAATGGTAGATGTCGTTGTAATGTATAAGATAGGTACCATAGTTATCATGACTGTGAGATCTATATATTATTTTAAACAAATGATCAATGACTAATTGAAAAAGAATAATCCTTGATTGTATTTGACTTTCTCCTAACGTAAATCTCCAAGAGTTATCTGTATAAGCGTTTAACGTAACGTATAAAAGTGATGCTTTTTTAACTCATCATTTATGAATTAATTTGCGATAAAACCAATATAAAAAAAGTTATTGCATCATTAATTCCTATCTTATTTCATTACATCAATTTCAATATCTAAATAAGGTAACCATACGTGATAATCAAATATGAAAGGAAATCAAGTTCTAATTTTACCTCAGTTACTGATTAATTTGAAGTTGAGAAACGAGCTTCCTTATTGAGCTGCTCACTTTAAACTTTGTTTTCATATATCTTCAGCTTTATAAGATAGAATGAACAACAGTTTCTCGACATAGTTCAAGATACCAATGGTCCGAAGAAGTAGCTTATATGGTGAAATGAAACATATTGTATGCCTTTCATTTATAGATTGTACTTAACTGCTGAACTAGAAATGAATTCGATAGGTCAGTTCCTAAGGTTAAACAAATGTAGGCTGATGATATGAACTTAAATCTACTGCTTAACACTGATCATCCTAGAATACACTAAATAAATAGTCTAATTGTTAACTCTAGGTAAAGTAGAAATTCATGAAACATATTTTTTAAAATATTAGCATCATAATTGATTGGCAAATTATTGATTGTAAAACCTTAAAATCATTCTTTGGTTATTTAATAAGTCATAAATACTCAAGGCTTTCATGAAACAACATGATCTTTGAACTTTTCAATAGTTTGCATTAAATGGTATAATTTTCTTTGAATTACGATATTGAGTAGATGCAGTTCTGTTTTTTTTCATTTACCTTTGTAATAACACTAAAAATGATAGTAGATGAAAGCCTTTGACAAAATATGTTAGAAAATAAAATAACTTTCTGAAAAGAATTAGAATGAATATGGGTGTATTTGAGAGCTATTAAATTATAAGTAATTTCTTTTCTAATTGACTAGCAAACTAGATGAATAAAGATTGTAAGTATTAATGATGAGTAAATGTTTGAAATAAACTTTGACTTAGGAAACATTTCAATATCGGATCATCAACAGTAGCTTTAATTTACGTTAATTTCAATTGATTCATGAATTCAATTATTAAATTACTATAATATTCACAAAACCCTTCTCTGATTATCATCATCATATGCTCACTAGTGATGGTCTCCAAGAGGTATTTCCTGGAGTTCTAGTGAGAAGCTGTGACCAGTGGAGTCCAATCAGGTCTGTTGTGAGATAGTAAATAAATGAAGACAATGGTTGACGGTGACGCGATTTCGTGGATTGGTTGAAATTAGACATTGACACTGTTGGATGCTGGCTTAGTGATCTAGATGTTAAGTGTTCGCACTCGAGACTAATAGGTCCTGTGTTCGAGTCTCGCGAGACTGGATCGTGGATGCGCACTGCTGAGGAGTCCCATATTGAGACGAAAAGACCGTCCAGTGCCTCCAGAATTTTCATAGTGGTCTAGCTTTAACTAACTCATGAATTTAACTATTAAATTACGATAATATCTACAAAACCTCTCTCTGTTTATAATGTTAAATTTATCTATGTAAGTTGTAGCAAAAAGAATAAAATTGACCTTATCCAGATAATTTAATTTGTGCTTATTCTTATCTGATTTCTATTGGAATTTATCTTTAAATTTCATCTCGTCAACGATAAGTACAAATATATATTCATATTATTTATTAAATTTTCATTAATAACACAATATCGAGAATGAATTTTATTCGAATATACACCGTGATTCTTAATCAGTTTATAATTCATTAATACTTACTAACAATTTAGCAGGAAACAGTTCATCTGTCATTTACAACTGATGATTAATATCAAACATAAAATGTACCTGGTTGCATCTGTATTTCACTATCACTATACATCATTTCTTGCAAATAAATTTACAAATCTTCACAAATATGAACTAAATTAATCAAAAAAATTTACGAAAGACTAAAATGAGCTAATTTTTGGAACCTGTGGGAAAATTATTTTTCATGGTAACAAAATACTCGTTTCAGCATAAATTCATACGTAAGTTAATGGTGAATTAAATTATGTAAGTAATATAAAAAGCTCTTAAAATCTTTCATAACAAAAAGAATAAATGAATAGAATAAAAGTATAATAGGTTGTCAAGTCTTATTATAATAAGCCTGCAACTATTTTATGAATGCAGTATTTTTAATTATTTATTTTAACCTAAATTGCGTATATTCGCCCAAATAGTATTTTTTAGGGTGTATAAATGGGTGTGAATAGACATTAACTACATCTATACATTTATATACAAAATGTTTTAACCGCTTTAAGGAATAAAAATGAAGATCTTAATCTAACTACGTATTAATATAACAAGCTTTTAATGTATATGGTTGTAGTCGTAAATTCATGCTTTAATGAAAGCATTAAACACATTACTCTCTTGATGCGTCTAAAAAATAAAGGACTAATAAAATTTCGTTACTGTTCATCTAAATTTGAACAATAAAGTAGTAGTGGTAGCGAAAAGTACATTCGAAGACTTTTAACTTATTTTACTGACCACCTTTTTATCTTCTCATCGACGATATCCATTTTCTTATGGTTGCATGTCTTTATACTCTGTGCTTGAATTACAGTGTAGAAAGTGTTGTAGTTATTTTTAATCACACAATTTCATCGATAAAACCAGATGCAAATCAACAAATTTAAGGCTCTCAAGATCTCGGTCTATTTAATTACACTGGTAGATCCTTGAACTATTGAGTACACAATTTAATAACTAAAGGTTAATAGTGGATTGTTAATCTATACAATTAAATATTAACTAGTTTGAGTTGAAATTTCCAAGGTCATCAGAGCTTTGAATTATTTCTGAAGTGTTAGTTTTTATATGAAGGGGAAACTCTTAACCAAAATGTTGCAGAATCTTGTTACAAATACGTTTTATACAGGCTACTGAATTAGCTGACTTTAACAGATCAAAAGTATTGCATACTTATTTAATTCTCTACTGTCTGTAATCAAATATTGTTCATAATACTCCAAATAAAATAAACATTCTAAAGCAAAGTAAGAAAACTACTATTAAACTAATGAATTATTTGCCATTTTTTAAATGATTCTTTTAGAACTTGGAAGTATATAATATTGTGAAACTTTACACCTAACCATACCTTTTCGAGAAATTCCGGAAATAGTAAACGCTAATGAATGCAAGGTTAATCAAATAAATAGTCAGCTAGTAAGTAAACTCACACTACAAATATTAGGTATGAGTAAATCAACTATTTTCAAACCATGTTTACGAAAGTCTTGAAGAACTAAGTAATAACACTAATTAGTAATCAAAAGGTACTAAATTTTTAAATTACCATCACTTTATGATTTGGAAATTAATAAACTATGTCAGTAATGAATATTAAATTGGGTGATAACATTCCGTGGATGGACAGTAGCTTAACAAAGACCACTTACATTAATGCACCTCTAAAGTAATTCTTTGTCATTTCATGAAATAAACTGTAGATTTTAGATTGATTTAAATCTTCACATAAGATATTAGACATCTACATAAAAGTGTTAAAAATGATCTTCTCGATGAAATTTACCTTTATTTCTTGAAAGTATAAAATTTCAGTCACCAATTATTTTATTACAATGAAACCACTAATTGATTACCAGCTTGTTAATCTTTCAATAAATGTGTTTCTTTTTGGCAATATTTAAACTTCCATGAATTATACTGAAAAAACGACACTGATACGAGACATTAATTTAAACACGTTCTACATAAATAGAAATATACTTGTATTAGTATTATTATCAGGTTTATTGAACATTATATATTTTTGGTAAAATATAGAATTCTCAATACAAAGTATTTCAAAGTTTCCGTTTTTTACTTCTTAGTTGATCTTAACTACAAATATTGAGTAGTCACTAATTAAAAGTTAGCAGTCTAACAATCGACATATTGCCAACAACCACGATGTCTCTAATTGAACATTTTTTGTAACTTGTACACCGGATAGTTCAAAAACTTTTCATAAACACAGTTGAATAGATTATGCAATTAATTGACATAATAATGTGTTAAAAACAAGTAAAAACAGATAATTAAAATATCTAGAGGACAATGAAATCCTAAACACCAGATCATAGGGATATTTTGGACATATGTTTAAAACACTTTGTATCAAACAAATCTTGATTACTTATATTGATAGATTTATATAAACAAATACAAATGAATAATATTATTACATAAATATTTCAATGGTGGAGATCTTTAGTCAGTTAAAGCTAGACCACCATAGGAAAGGTGGAAGCACTGGACGGCCATCTCGTCCTATTGCAGGACTCCTCAGCAGCGCGCATCCATAATCCCGCCCCCCGCAGGGTTCGAACGCAGGACCTGTCAGTCTCGCGCGTGAGCGCTTAACCTCTAGACCACAGAGCTGGCATCCAACGGTGTTAATGTCTAACTTCGACCAATCCACGAAATTGAGTAACACACCCACCATTGTCATCAGCGAGTTAATATCTCACAACAGACCTGGTTGAACTCCACTGGTCACTGCTTCTCACTAGAACTCCAGGATATACCTCTTAGAGACCGTCACTAGTGAGCGTATGTTGATATATATCCAAAAAACCCCTTTTGAAATCAAGATTTATTTATAGAATAAGCATTTAATCAGTAATACAAAAATGAATATTCTATATTTTTGTTTTAATTTTCACAAATATATATGTATTACATCATCAAATTGAAGTAAAATATTCTTTTAAACGAAATAATAGATTTTGTAAATCTTTATGATTCGGAAATAAATTTAATGAATATTTGGTTAAATTATAACTTGTTTGCAATTCACCTAGCTGTAACAGAAAAAAAAAAGATTACGAAAAATCGAATCATTAAATGATCAATAATAGAATATTTTAAGTTAATACAAAATACAAGGTAATTGAATATAGCTCTTGATCAAACGAACATTTTTAGATTATTATTATTTCAGCTATAGACAGTGTATGAAATTAAACTAAAAATAAAAAAAACATTTATTCAAAGTAAATGGCTTATAAATTAAAGTTTTCATCATAAAGTCAATCATGTCAATAATAAAACAGTTATCTATTGATAACAACAGATAACTGTCTGCTATATTGTTCATTTGACTAAACTTGGAAATATGGATTATTGGATTTGATTATTCAAGTTTAAAAATATCACATATACTAGATATACGAGAAATACCGATGTTCGCTTCAATATGAGATGATATGTAGACACTATTGATACGTCCCGAATAGAAATAATAGAGTAGTTAAGTATTCTTTAATTTTGAATGATTTTCAAGTATATGCTAGTCTGCAATAAAAGCTATTTTAATTCGAATTATCATTCTTAAATCATCTAACCAGGTTCCTTATAAGCATTATTGAAGTAACTTACTCAGATAATTAATCACTCAGTTAATAACATTATCAATACTTATCACGTTTAGGATAAAGATCACCTATTCTTTAATGATAGAAACAAAGTTTCTGCTGTTAAAAATCACTTATTTAATAGAATGTGATGTAATCTGATTAACATAAATCTATTAGCAAAGAATTGGGCACATAACTCAAGAAATATTTAAATATTTTTTTGTTCATTTGTAAATCACGTTTCTGACGTAATATACCCAGAGATAAATTAGGAACTATAGAAACCATATTTAGAGAATTAATCAAAAAGTTTGCTTCTTGATAAATTTCATCTAATATGAATAAAAACTTGTAATGTTTAACTTTTCATATACAAAACAATTTTTCAACATAATTCAACCATAAACTGTAAACCCTTTTTTTGTTATAAATTAATATATTATTTATTGTAGTTTATAAATTTATTCAATCCCCACTACTTCACTAAATTGCATAACAAAAAATGCCTAATAGATAAAAGTTTATATATATGAAATTTTCACCAAGTCATGAAATGTCATAAATTTTTTTCTATTTTTTCTAATTGCACTCATTTTACAAAATTATGACATTTCAATAATGAGAGAACAATAAAATGATATTTTAAACACAAAGAATAATTCTCTAATTTACCCGAACACTATTTTTTAACAGAATAATGTACTAATTGAAAATCAAAATTTTATCTGCATTTTTGTTTTAAAGAGAAAAAAAATAACAAGTAGTACATATAATTTTTGTATGTACTTCTATTTAGTTTACCAACTATTAAAATAACACACATGCACACACACATATATAATAACACACAACGCCTCTATTTGAATCTGTAGTTCCTAAATATTTTTGTTAATATTTAAATCTGAAATGCTTCAATTCACAATCAGTAACTAGTTACTAATCACTATTTTGTTTTGTAAATAATTAATTTTACGCAATATTTATGATAAATGAAAATGTTAAAAAAAAATAGCTGATTTAGTATTATAAAATTCGTAGTGTATATTTGTCATAAATTTTCTTAAAAAGATTTTCTTTTTTTAATTTTAAATAAACTAATACGAAAAAAAAGTAATATCTGATTGTTATATCTTACTGAAAAGAAATATTAACTTCAGGTATTTTAATAACCTTCAGAAAATAAACAGTGTGTATATAACCTACTATAAGAGAGAACAGACCAGATTCTATCGGAGGAAGAAATCAGGAAGAAGTGCTGGAAGTAGATAGAACACACATTGAGGAAAACACCGAACTGCGTCACAAGACAAGCCCTCACATACAATCCTCAAAACCAAAGGAGAAGTGGAAGACCATAGAACACATTACGTCGACAAATGGAGACATACATGAGAAGAATAAACAAAAATTGGATAGAACTGGAAAGGAAGGCCCATGACAGAGTGGATTGGAGAACGCAGTTCGGCGGCCTATGCTTCATTGGGAGTAACAGGCGTAAGTGAGTAGGTAAGTATAAAAGTTTACATAATAAATGGAATAAACCAGATTAAATAGTGAATGAATACAAACTTAACTTTACAACAATTAGTTCCTTTGATAAATTTCGGCAATATAATAAGAAGATGAAGATTATCAGAACTCTTATCTCCATTTCTAGTCTATTTGGCCTGTTATTTTTAAATATAAATATTCTTAACACATTTATTATGTGTGATCAGATTGTTCGAAATGTATTGCGCTAATATATTATGACATAGTTCTGATAATCTTTGTGTTCTTATTACATTATCAAAACTTGAATTCGTTTATATTTATTACTTAAAAGGTTAGCTTATCATGAAGTCATGAAACGATAAAATGTTACCCCTACTCAGTGAAATATATTTTCATTTCTTTCAGAAATGGTCTGCTCATCATTTAGTTTAATTAAAAATTTCAAGATAGACCTTATTTTGAACTTAAATGATCCTTTATAACAATTCCATTTTATTAGAATAAATATCATGGAAGTATTTGTCGAAAAACATTTTAAGCCGTAAACAACCATTTACTTAAGAAAACTTACTTTTAAGCTGATCTACCTAATGAGTACACACCTGTGTTTAAAATTTAGTTATGCGACTTTAACAATGTATCCAAAAGTGGGAATAGAAGGCCTTGACATGTGAATCCAACTATAGCGTGAGCAATACTAACCGATTATTTCTTTTGAATTAAGATGAAGGTACATCAGAAATTGAATGAAGTGATTGAAAATGTGAATCGTTGGATCCTAAGTCAATGACTTGAAGTTATTGCTCTCATTTCAAGATTCCAAGGTCTTCAATTCGATCACTTGTTGGATAAAGATGACGATGATAGAAACATTCGATTATGCAACTGATATCAACACCTAATAAAAATTACTTCCCATAAAATCACAAAATCAATAATCAGAATTCATCTTAGTAACTCTTAGGAAATGAGTTTTGGTTGACTCACAGTTTCTGTTAGAAAAGCTAAATTGTGATGTGGTTCAAACAAATCGAAAGTTATCTGACATGACGTTTTATATAATTCTTTAGCCTACAATTTAAATATACAAATCAAAATGGAAAAATGGATATGATGCAACAAAATAATATAGTTATAATTTTTATATGACATATATGTGATATATTTTTCATCATATTTACCTCTCTAACTGCATCTATGGCTTTTAAAGTATTAAAGCTTCAATCTTTGTTACTTACATCAGACCATACATTAGCCTCAATATAAGAGCGAATATACACGTTTTGTTTAGAAAAAATGTCTATTTTTATTATACAGTAGACAATAGTTAAGTTAATCGTCAATTTCATTTGCAGTAAATATAAAAAAGTGAAACAAAAACACAGAAACACATGAACAACCTCAATAATCAAAGTTAATGTAACTTTGATGCTAGTATGGTATATGCTACTGATGTCGAAAGATATAAGTAGTATGTATCACCAAGCGAAAGTGCAATGCCTGGCGGCTCAAAAAAAGAGAACAAGAACAAAGAATGATTGGTATGAAAATGAAAGAACAATGAAGTCTGGGACGATTGATTGACATTTCGCAAATGAAGTATTTACTGTATGGTTCTAAGATTTTACCAAAATGTTCTGTAATTTTGTATTCAAATACATTCTATTGTCTCCATTTATGTTCTCGTTCACTTAACTAGAATGCATTAAAATAGGCATTACCCAATGTTTTCAATACTTGATCTTTCATACAAATCACATCAGTAATAAATAACGTATTGCATCGATGTCACTTTTTACTTTGAAAAAAATCAACTTTAATGTTCCCCGTCAAAACTGATTAATCCGTTGTGTTTTAAAAAAACCAATCTTCAGTTGTTTAATTTCGCTAGATTTAAAAAAAGTAGCAGTAATAACCAATTACAATTTCGACAATGATTTCACACATTAATTTATATATAATTTATTCATTTTGATATATTCTTACCATATCTATATTCCCACTTTTCTGTTCTAGTACACCTAAATTATTGTATGCTTCTGCATGATTATTATCATTCATAATAGCAAGATATAAACAGTGATAGGCCATTTGAAGTTCTCCAATATTCTAAGATTTAAAAAATAAATAAATCTAAAATAGTGAATCTATATATTGCTGGAACAGTTAGTTATTCATGAAATGATCACATTAAGCTTTTATTCAATATGATAAACAACGTCTTTCAATTGACTTTTATTAACTATTAATGAAAATAATACTTATTTAAATAAAACTATAACTTACATCAGTGTATTTATGAAATATTTAATTTAATTGATTTGAAGAATATTATACTATCATGATACTACTTATTATTACTACTTTTTATAATTATTAAAATAAAAATAATTATAAATTGTAGTCTATGACTAGAAGTTATTTTTTAATCTACTCAAAGTTGATCTTTAAATCATGATCAGTTTATTTTCTTAATTATCTTGATCATATTAGTTAACATTAAAGTTTAATGAAGTGAAAATATCATTAGATTGGTTGTATGATTATGTTGTTGTTATGGTTTTTATTTATTTATTTATTTACTTATTATAATGAAATTAATTAAGATCAATTTTATTAACCAATTCATAACGTCATTATATGTTCTGGAATTGAAATAATCTAAGCTAGAATCAACAAAAACGGGGAGATATTATAGTAGTTTCAATGGTTGAGACCATGAGTCAATTGAAGCTAGACCACCATGAAAAACCTGGATGCACTGGACAGACATTTCATCATATAATAAATTCAACCATAATGAACATACTAATTAATTTCTTACACTAGTTTTTGTTCTAGACTATCTAATACTTCAATAAAAACTTACTATAATAAGATTAAACTTCAATTCATATGTATTTCAATGATAAACATAGTTAATAATTAATAAATAAAAATATAATATATATCTTAGTAATGTTTTATGGAACACTTTTTGTCAATAAAAGTAAAATTAAAGATACATTAGTTATTCTATAATTTTCAATTTTATTATTTGTTACTTAAAAAGTAAAATTTTAGATGTATTATAAGTTATGAAAGTTATAAAAAGTTGTTATATTTCCTTGAAATTACAAAACAATCTAAAGTTATTTTCAAAAGATGATAAGTGGCTAACAGTGGAATACAGTATTCGCATTTCGTCCTCTCTGGGTCTCGTCAACTGGACGTACTTGCATCTCAAAGTTGATGTTTACCCTGAGACACAAACCCAGTACCGTTCGCTTCAAACACCATCACGTTATCCAGTTAGCTACTGTGTCCTGATAGCCACTTACTCGTACAGTGGGGTAAAATATTAAGTTGAATTAATGTTGTTTAGTTGTATCTTCCGATTGTTATTTAGGACTGCAGGTGATCAATCTCTTATTGACATATATGCATCCTGTGCGAAGCTTGTGAATTAAGGCAACATCGAGGCAGTCCGCACAGGATGCATATATGACAATAAAAGACTGATAAACTGCATTCCTAAATAACAATCGGAAGATACATGTAGACAACATCAAGTGAACTTAAAATTATTTTTGGTTGAGAATTACGGAAATAAAAAATTCAAATCCTATTGTAAAATCATTCAGTCATTTAATGATTTTATTTTCTGAAGCTTGTTACGTTGAAAATTAAAAATGATTTCGGTTAGTAAGTTTTTTACTTGAATAACACCGTGATTTGACTAATCACTTGAGATGGTGGAGATTTGTAGCTCAGGTGGATGATTTGGATGGAGTTTTGTTCTCTGAGCTGGATGGTTTGGTTGTGTTTGATAGAGTTTTTTTCTATGAGATCAGAGACTAATCAGCCTTTGCATTTTAACACTGAAATTTTTTATGGATTTCATTTTTACGTAAAGGAATTATTTGAATGATATATGAAGAGGGGTCTAACTAGGAGGTATTTTTCATCACGAACCGACAAAGATGAAAGCATCAGCTATCTTCAACTATTTAATGTTTTAACTGTGTTTAAGTTTTTTATTTGATATTAATTCATAATATACACTGTTGTCAAATGGAGTTAAACCATATTGAATTATTTATTGTAGTTCATTATATGTACTGTCATAAGTTTTACTGACCATCATTCTAAATTATCTACTAACAATAAGCGCACAAAGTGATCTCTTGATAAACGTATAACTGGGCATCACCTTGTTTGGACATAAAAATGAGAATGTAAATCAATCACCAGCTCTACATTAAAACATCTCATCACTTTGGATTGCATTACCTCACCAGAAATGCCCTTCAAAATACTCTACACGGTTAAGCAATTAGTTTAGACAAACAGTAAAAATCATTAATTTTTTCACTGTACGGGTGTCATAAACTCAACATTTCGAACCTGATCTTAATGTTTAAAAGAAGTTCAAGTTCACCTTATACCATGGCCATTACACTTGTGATTTTTTTAACTCGATAAATTAATAGTTAAGATTTTCTTTTAATGTTTCAAGTTTTTATCACCTCTACATTTTTAAATTATTCTTCACCTTTCTCATATCCGTCAAATAGACAAGTATCTTTCATTTGTCTGATTTCATCGTAATAAGCGTTCAAACATGAGACCAGAGGATCTGTGTTCAACTCCTGGATACACATCCAAAGAATCATATACTAGAACAAAACAGCTGTCTGGTGCTTTCAGATTTCCAATAGTAATACATAATTATATGAACGAAGAATATTCTTCTCAATAATTTCTCATCAATTCCTACAACTATAAATCCAGATTACTTACCTACTCACTTATGCCTGTTACTCCCAATGAAGCATGAGCCACTAACCAACATTCTCCAATCCACTCTGTTATGGGCCTTCCTTTCCAGTTCTATCCAATTTTTGTTTATTCTTCTCATGTATGTCTCCATTTGTCGACGTAATGTGTTCTATGGTCTTCCACTTCTCCTTTGGTTTTGAGGATTGTATGTAAGGGCTTGTCTTGTGACGCAGTTCGGTGTTTTCCTCAATGTGTGTCCTATCTACTTCCAGCACTTCTTCCTGATTTCTTCCTCCGATAGAATCTGGTCTGTTATCTCCCGTAGTAGGTTGTCGCTGATAGTGTCTGGTCAACGGATCTGAAGTATTTCGCGTAGACAGCTATTAATAAACACTTGTATCTTCTGAATGATGGCTTTTATAGTTCTCCAGGTTTCCGCACCACACAGTAGAACAGTTTTGACATTTATATTAAAAATTCTGACTTTGCTGTTGGTTGACAGTTGTTTTGAATTCCAGATAGCCTTCACTTATAGATATGCTGCTCTTGCTTTGCCGATCCGCACCTTCACATCTGCATCAGATCCACCGTGTTCATTAATGATGCTGCCCAAATATGTAAAGGTTTTTATATTTTCCGAAGCTTCTCCATCAAGTGTGATTCGATTGGTTCATGCTGTAATGTATCAGAGAATCTTGCTTTTCCCTTTGTGTATGTTGAAACCTGCTGCTTCTGAGGCTGCTGCTACACTGGTAGTCTTGTCCTACATTTGTTGTTGCGTTTATATAATTTATAAAATTATAAATCCAAATTAATAATCCATAAAATTGGCCAGATTTAAGGCACAGTGCATCATTTAAAATTGTAATATGTGAATCAAGAATTGCTTGTTATGTCCCAAACTTATTATTATTATTATCTTTACCATTATTATTATCTTTATCATTGTTATTATTATTAATAAACTTGGCAACCTTTTTGGGAAATTTATTCAGCATCCACCCCTATCTACTATAACTGACCTAATTTATATTATTCTACATATTACGCAACTTCCGATTTTTATTCCATTATTCTCTTACTCACACACCCCATATTGATCACATTTATTCTGATCATTTATCTCACAATTTTATTTCACTTATAAACTGACTGAAGTTAACACTTCATAAAAGCCAACCCGACATTAACGATTTGATTTGATTTTATATAACAAACAACAATTCTTGATTCACATATTACAATTTCCAAATGATGTACTCTGCCTTAAATCTGGTCAATTTTATGGATTATTAATTTGGATATGAGATAATTGTAAAACCTAATGAGAAATTATGGAGAAGAATATACTTCGTTCATATTATGTTTTAATAATAATGGGAATTTTCTAATAATAGTTTAGTTAAGATCAGTTCGCTATTCAAACAATTCAAAGAATATTATTTTATAGAACAAAAGTGTTATCACAATTATTCATTCTGATAAATAAAGACAAGAAACTTTCATTTCAGTAGGATAAAATGTTTATCCTTTAATAATAATAATAACAATAATAATAATAATAACAATAATAATAATAATAACAATAATGGTAATAGTAATAATAATAGTAATAATACATGAAAATCTTTAAAATATGAAGCATTACTAATCACTTATTTATATGATTATTAAATAAGTAATAAACAACAAATCTAAATAATGAAAAGCATGAAAATTTATTGACATTTATTTATATAATTTAACAATATCTTATTGATAAAGCACATATAATAATCAACAATTTACCTTAACAATCTGATGAAAATCTGATAAATTCGTAGTATTTTAAAGGGTAAATAAAAAAACACTAGAATTATTCATGGGTTGAAATTCTCGCCACACACAAAAACAAATGTTAATAAAACAGATATGCACTAACAAATTATACTTTCAATGGTTGAGATCATGAGTCAATTGAAGCTAGACCACTATGGAAAACCTGGAAGCATTGAATGGCCGTTTCATCGTATTGTAGGACTCCTCAACAGTGCATATCCATGATGCCGCCTCGCGAGATTCGAGCCCAGGACCCAAGTCATTCAGTACTTTCAGGTTTTTCATGGTGTTCTAGCTTCAACTGACTCATGATCTCAACCATTGATATTATTATAATATCCACAAAACCCCTTCTGATGTTAAATTACACTTTATTTATAATATTAAGATATTTAATAAAGATATGTTGTGTTTTTGATTAATATGAATATTCTTAACTAACCTATTTGGCTAGTATTATAATTTTATTGCAAAAGATTTTTGTTTATATTTACTTATATTACTTATATCCAATCATTTCAACTACTTCACACCATAATGCAAATAAGCATAAATCTTATTATGATAGAAATCAAAATTAGATTTTGATAAATAAATGATTTAATAATATAAAATATTGTAAAGGATAAATAAAATAAAATTTATTCATTATTTAAATTAAGTGGTTTAAGAAAATATAGAAAATGTGGAGAAAATGATTTTAAAAGTTTAAATAAAGAAAAAAAAACATTTATATACTTTAGTATAATACATTTATGTAAACAAACTTAGGTTATAGTACTTGAAATAGAAATAAGCGACTATTCATAACTTGAATGATTCTATACTGATTGATATAATTTCGAACTTATTTGATAAGTTTAAAATACCAAATGATTCACTACGCCTATTGAATAATGTTGATGTAATGAAATACTTACATTATTCAAAATGATTGATATTTTAATCTATCTAAAGTACAGGAAGTTGTAAATACTTTTCTTTAAACTTTCGAAGTATCATTATATATCATGGGGTACATTAATTCAATAGTTGTAATGACTAAATATTTCATTAAACATTAGAGTATTCCTAAAATAGTAATTCATCTTATTGAACAAAATTAAACATTGACATAATATGTAGTAAGAATAATTACATGACTTACAATTGCAATATGCCCCAGATTATAATAAATATCTGCTAAATTCGTTGTATCACTTAGTGCAATAGCTTGATTGAAAAATGATAAGCATAGATCATATTGTTGTGTATAAAATGTACACAATCCTAAATTATTATATAACTCAGTTGATTCATATCCATATTGTAGAATACGTCTATTATTTTTTTAAAAAAATTAGAATAAATTGTGTAAATTAGGTTATATTGATGTCAGCTGGTTGAATTTCATTGAAAATAAGCCTCGAACTTGGATTTCATGCTAGTCAACAATAATCAGCAAAATGAATCTGGAATGCCAAAGATTATATGACGCTAAATATGCTATTTAAACTAGGGTTATATATCTAGTTATGAAATTTTTTATGAAGTCCATTAAGTGTCCTAAAATATTGTTTAATTCACAATCTCTTCCATCAATTTAACTTATTAGATTAAGAAGCATAAACAACTTTAATTTCACAGTTTCTATCACATTAGTTGAAAGGTTTTTGAGACTTGAAACCAATTGTTTAGATCTAAGTTGAGATACTTCAACTTTTATTTCTCTTGGTATCAAAGTTGAATTGTATAATTATTGTTTCAAATCTGCAAATAATAAACCACTGAAACGAATCTCGATGGCTAACATATTTTAGTTTTAAATAACACATGAAACAAAATTCATAAAACCATTCCCTTGATACAATCTACTCATAAATGATAAAATCAAAAGAACGATTGCATAGATATTAGCTGAACAAAATTAGAAATATGTGGCGACTGCAATAAGATCCCAGTTTTTTATTTCTTTCATTTAAACGTCGTAGTGTTTCATTTCATAAAAGATGTTCGAAACGTCAATCCCAACATGGTTCACGTCCCACCGCTATTATTTTCTCAATTTAAATAACTGCTACTCGAGTAACTAATTGAGAGGTGTACAATCTCATTGAATCATTACTACGCCGATAAAATTAAAAAGAGATTTGTGTAACTAATCCCCTTGTTTTATGGACTGTATGGATTGTAATCAATTCCATCGAGAACAAGGGGTTTACATTTGCCATACATTTTCTGTTTGGAAGATATGCTACTGAAATTATGTAAGTAACAAAATTCTCTTACTCAAAATACTTAACAAATAAATGATATCACATTGATAAGCTTAATTTACTTAAATATGTCAATAAAATGGTTGTAACTTCAAAGACGTGATAGATCCATACAATCGACTATCAGAATTATAAATCAAAAAGGTAAATAATTTCCCATTTTCAGTGACAGTTTATTGATTATTTTTCGATTACCTAGTCTAAAGTTGTTCAAAATAAACCTATTACATCACCACTACATAAACATGCATTAAGTAAACTAAAATTAAACATATAAAACTTGCCTATAATACTTTAGTGAGACTTCCGGTTCATCCTCATAAAAATAATGAATTGCAATTGAAGCCAAACTCTCAACATTCATATCGTCTATTTGGGATATTTCTTTGTATAAAACAACCGATTGTGAGGCATTGTTTAACTTCTAAATAATATTTATTATAAAATGTATTATGTAGAATGAGATGAAAGCGTTATGGTCTAATAAATTACTACTGGAAATCACTACATTGAAACAGTCTATGGAGACTGAAACTCATATAATGGTTACAACTATTGATAAGTAAGAGTAAAGTGTCAGATAAAAATAACTCCCTACATTATAGTGTGTGGCTTGATATTTCTTATTGAGTTTCTTACCAGATTGATGAAACAAATGAGTTATCTTTATTAGTACTATCACTATGGATTGCGTTATTGTTGTACCTCTAATATTTAAATTATGATTGCACTTCTGACAATTACGGGAATCTAGGATATGGGTTTCATCCAATTTATGTCTGCTTAATTAGCTGTGAATTAATGAAATATTTAATTGTCTTAAAACCAAACTTCTGAGTAGATTAGAAGAAAACATTAAAAAAAATCCAGTTATACTTTCAATCAAAATCGTGATACATAATCTATGTAATCAGCAAACATATATTTACCTGGTATATTCTAGCTTTACCAGTTAATAGATCAATATCATTAGGAAATCTTTCCAAACCTCTATCATAAACGCCAATTGCACGACCGGGCTGATCAAGCTGTATTGCAACAAATGCTAGAAGTGTATATGCTTCTATACTTGGATTTAATTCTAATGACTGACTGACTGAACATTCAGCTTCTCGTTTAAGTCCTAGACTAAAAACGACAGAAATTGAATGTTGTTATCATAAATTGCAGTAAAACTGATACAAATATGTATCAAGTTGTTTGTTAATTTAGCAAAGGGATAGTAACAGTCTAAGGAGAATTTGTAATTCCCTTAAATTTCGTCTCACAACTGAAATTTTATTTGTTTATGGTAGCATTTTGATATACATTTATGGTCAGAGATAGTTACTAATTGAAAAATACCTTTGGCTCGGTTGTTTCCTAGTTGTAAAATTACGTCCGCGAATTTTCATGCTTTAGATTTGTTTACAATGATTGATTGTATGCACATATACCTTCACAAAAAGCTTACAACCTATCATAGGGTGAAATATTGTCAAAACACAAGCCTAACTACGATAGTATATTGTTATTCTTATCTGTCTTTTTCAGGAAACACGGTGCCATTAGACTAAGATGTACGAATTCAATATATGGTGATACGAGATATGAACTAGTCATAAACTTGGGACAGCGAAAATAAACACCAAGCTAGTGTTGAAAAAGTCTTGTTTATATATATTTGTCTTGAAAATTCACAAGTTACATGAATATAATAGAGGAATCGGCTGAAATACTACATATTTTGTGCTGATAGCTATTTACAGTTGTTACGAATGGATAGATTTAAGAAACAATAAACTTTAAAAAGCCGTCTTTCTGGGAATCAGTATATATATATATATATATATATATATATATATATATATATATATATATATATGTTTTTCCTTGTGTATGTTGAGGCCTTCCAATGTAGAGGCTGCTGCTACACTGGCCTTCTTTCACTTGCACTTTTTGGTGTGTATGGGATAGAAGAGCTAGGTCATCTGCGAAGTCCTATTCGTCTGGCTTTATCCAACCTGTCCATTGTATTCCATGCTTCTCATGAGATATGGGGGTTTTCATTATATAGTCAATCACCAGAAGAAAGAGAGAATGCAAGAGAAAATAGCCTTATCTGACATTGGCTTTAAATAAGGATGCATTGGTGGGCTTCCCTCCATCCAAGACGTTGCAGTGTAGTCCTTCGTATGAATTCCGTATAATGCCTATAACCTTCACAGGTACACCATAGTATTGAAGGTTTCATAAGGTTCACCTGTCAAGTGCTCTCTCATAATCGAGGAATTTGATGCGTAGTGACGGGTTCTATTCAATTGGTCATCCAATGATGATTCGTAGTGTCGCGATTCGGTTGTTACAGGATCAATCTCTACGAAATTCAGATTACTGACCTTGAAGTTGGGCGTTAACTGTTGTTAACTATAACACTATATTATTTATCACTTTGAGTTTATGTGTCTTCTATGTCTTCATATAAAAAATCATAGGGTACTAATATTTATTAGGTTATCAATGCTATCTATCCCATAGATGAGGTTCAGGTCACTGTCAATAAGTGAGAAAAGTCATTCACACATAACACTGTCATCAAAATATCTCATTATCATTTGCCACTTATTATTTATTTTTTTATTTGAACACATTGATATTGGTACCAGAGGGCACAAAATACATATGCGCTACACAAATCTCATTGGGTTTGTGTGAGTGCTGTGATACTGTCCGGATGCCAAAACCGAAGCAGGTGGTTTTCATAGGGGGCCACACTCAGAGCCTTCGACCTAAAGGTCTGATCCACAAGACAGTGGAGCAACGTAAGGAGATGCAGTCCCATGGTAGCCGGTGATGAACGATTGGTTCATACGCCATTTGTTCCCTCAGGATACTGGAGCCCATTGGTTTGGAATCAGGGTTTTCCAACTCCCCTAGGTGGACTCTCTATATCCACCAATCCGGTTAAAGCGCCGGACATTCGCTTATCGTCCCCGCAATTTCTAAAACAACACTGGTGCCACGAGAAGGCAGTGAGTAAAAATTCCCTGGCAGAGGCTATATACGCGTGGCCATGTGAGAGCATTTCGAGAGGGAGAGAGGACTCTCCCCACTCTCGGCCGTACCAGAACATTTTCCACTAATCTCAAAACGTGAACTTAAATAATAAATGGAATAAAGACATTAATTACGTTGAGTAGAATCTAAATCATTATCATTCATTTAGATTTTGAGATGTTTAACTGTCTATTTTAACATTCTTAATTCCTAGAATACCATTTAAAACATCAGCTTTATCAAAAACAGAATTTAAAAATGTTAATTAGTAGATAACTTGTAGAATATTTGAAATTCAACTTTCAAGGAAAACATTTACTGGAAAACTCAAACTTAAAAATTGAGGCGAACAAAATGAGTATGTAGTTTTTCACTAACTTGTAAAATTTTTACGCCTCAATTTCAAATAAAACGTGATGGTGATGAATAAAAGTATTTAAGAGAATACATTAATCCAAATGAGTCAACTTCAAAGTGAAAATTAAGAAATATTCATTGATATATATATATATATATATATATATATATATATATATATATATATATATATATATATATATATAATACCGTGAAGCTAAATACATTCACAACAAAAATATGTCAACATTTTACTTCGGTATTATCTATAATGAGGCATAATTCGTATACAAAGATACGGCATTCTTGGGAATTCCTTGTGTTGTTTGAATTACAAATTGTTTTGACTTAACTAAAAATAAGTTAAAACTTCCACAAATTCAGTACGAATGAGTATATATGATAAGTCTACAAGTCCTTTTTCACAGTTCAATGCACTAAAAGTACACTTGCAGTGTAGAAATTCCTCCTAGCATACTGTGTCATCAGTCTTTCAGAATTCGCTTAGTAGAAATTACTTAGACACTAATACATAACACTTGCACTTAGAAGATTTCCTTGATAATTAATAAATTTACCTTAAGTATCTAAGAAAATTAGGTGAAATCCCACACAGATTTAAATGGTCTTTTAACATGGAAGCATATAAGCCATAATCACTGTAGAGATTAATGACCGTTATAATAAAAGATATGCTCTCTTTGATTTATTCTAGAATATGTCACAAATCCCCATAAAACATAAACTTGTACACAAGATTACTAATAATCCCATCTTCCCAGTGCAAAGTGTCTCAAGTTCACATATTACTCTTTGATATAAATAATTAATAAATTAGCAAAATATACCATTCTTAACCTACCAATATAAACAACGTGCTTGCTGCAAATACCACCACCAATTTGCTTCAACAGGTTCATTATACGATAAACGATTCGACTGTAATTTTGATACTGAATTTAACATGAATCAAAAATTTTAGCTCATACACTGATTACTGGCCTTGTTATTAGTAGCACATATTAAATTCGTCAAATTGAGCGCTTCACGATATTCTTTAACAACATAGAATAGATATTCGAATAAGGAACATGCTACTTCTAAATTTTGAGTATACTTCGCTAAATTCAAACGACTTAAATGAACGGGTTCTTCACTTAACTGAGCAGTCTGCAGAAAAGAAAAGAAATGAGTCGTTTCGGTAATAAAGTATTGTTTATAAGTTATTACGAAATTTTATTTCGAAGATTTACTGTTATGATATTAATATCATGATTTTGTAACCCTGTAAAACCAACATCGTCGCTATTCCAAACCAAGTGAAAATCAACTGGTACAGAACAATTTTCGCTTTCGCAAAGTATTAAAAACTCTAGTGCTATCAACTTCTAGCTAAATTTTCTGGGCTGCACGTGGGGTATGGGCTAGTTATGTAGCCAGATTCGAGTAGTATGCATCAGGAATAGGAAGTGGAATTGTTAACCAGAAGAAGATTAAAATGTACAGAACAGAAAAGGAAAGAGAGAGCACTTAGAATAACAACAGAATTAAAAGAATGATGGAGTATGTAAAGGACAACTGAAGAAAGATGTACAAACATTGTATTTAATGAATGATTTTCATATTTTACAAAGGCACTGTGTAATGTAAATAACAATAGATCGGTTTACAGTACCTGAGTCCTCATTCACTGCATGTATACTTTATGGTCATACCATTACCAATTATCATCGACTGCATTTAATAATCAGCATGTATTCTGTTTACTTCCTGAGTTTTTGGCTTACATTTTCACTTGATCTTACACCTTTCAGTTCTTCGAATAAATGTTTTCCCTCAGATTATAAACACGATAAAGTGTCGCCATTTTAGGTTCAAATATTGTACAAGAAAATTGAGCGGTATCATTTTCTGTCATAATTTTTAATTCTCCCTTCTTCATCGTTTTAGAATTGTACGTCTCAACCATGTCGGCAATGAAAAAGATTTTGACTTCAAATTCTAAATATGCTTAGATTTGAGTGCTTTCAGTAAGTACAGCAACTAGATATATTCATACTTGACATTCATGGTACTAAATATACAATCAATCATAAATGATGAGCATTTTTGTTTCCCGATGTTTTACTTGGAGTAAATCTTTAACCTTTCCTTCATACTTATAAAGTAATAACAATAACATTGACTGTATTTTGAAAATAACTTTCATCACCGACAGAAATCAGTTTTAATCACTAAAAGCCAGAAAACGATAAAATGTCTTTTGAGAGGGCTTGAGCTTGCAGAGGACCAAACCAATGACCTTGAGGTCTCGTAACGATCAAAATATCTTTATCAAATTGAGTCGTATCTGGCTGGTCAATTAATAACACCTGGAACAATTTTTGATAAGGAATGACTGTCATAAAAACTAGTTGGGGAATTTTACCCCATACTGGTGACAGTGCGTGGCTAAAACTATCTTCAAAATGTAGCGAAATCTAATCCAAGTCAAGCGACATTTCGATAACTTCTTTACCCAGGTAGTTTCAAAATTACCCTCACTTAACTACATTTGTGGCGTTAAAATGTTTTAAAAAGTAGGAATGAAATGCTTACGGTTCCTTTTCTTTGGCATTTATTATAATGAGCAGTTATAGGTCTTGAATTGTTACGAATAACTGTTTCGATAGAATTTGTATACGTCTCTGTACTGTTTGTATTATAAACACCCGTTAATGGGCGACTGGTCAGATTTGATGGACTAAAATAGCAGATTCCATAAAGAACCATTATTACTTACCGTACAGCCCGACTTAAACTACTGGTAGCTAGTTTGGAATTATCTGATGAGAATCGTAGACAACAACTGTCGACAACATTTCGATCACGGAATGCGACATCAAAAAGGTTAAACTCTGTGTAAAACTCGTCTTCACCAATCATATCCTCCGTGATTGCTCTCATATTCAAAAGCCAACATGCCATTAATGAAAAACGGATAAATTTTAATTTTTGCTCACTTCATTATCAGGATCAGTTTTCAATAGCTTTTCACAAATTTTCCTGCAACCTTTGAAATCGCGACTGTAATATCTTGATAAAGCCACGTACATTGTATCCGTTACTGATCGTGTTGAGAATATGAAGACTAAAACGCAAGCTAGAATAATAATCGCGCTAGTTTGACAGATGAATAAATAATGTTCATTTAATCAGATAGACGGTTTGCAGATATTTTCAGGTTTTTATTACTAACTTACAACAATTAAAGATCCTAAAGCGCCGAATGATAACCCTTGTGCATTGAAAATTGAGTAAAAGTAAGAATATGAATATATGTATATACTGACCTAATGGTCCAAAGCTTTTGTACTATTAGCGAGATATGAAGTTTCTTGATTCATTCTTCATATGAGGTACTGGTTTTGCACTACTAATAAAACCTAAACCAGAACGAAGCAACTACTTTGGGTCTCGGATTTTACTGGTTTTCCATATAATCTCAATGCATAATGTTTCTACATTCATCAAATGTATATTTCGAAGTCATATATTTCTAGTACAACATGTTTTTGATAGTTGGACACAAAGATAGAATTTTAAATTATTCCAGATCAATTTTCTTAAAAAATTAGAAATATAACAGACTAATGAAGATGAAACAGTCGCTAAAATAAACGGATCATTAAACAACCAACCATAAAATCTATCAAACAGGATACGCGCTCACAAAACCAGGTAGTAACGATGAAGCCTAGCTTATATTTCAATCCTAATTGGATAATGGGGAAAGCAATTTTCAAAATTGCAAAGCAAGTGATAGGAAGGCCGTAGATAAGAATTTACTCAAGTATATCCAAGTATAATAACTAGATAAATATTATCACATGAGAAGTGTTCATATGCGTTAATGCAGAAAATATACTCCTTATTTGAACTACCCAGGTAACTGTCAGTTCTATACAATTCGTTGGAAGAATACATTTGTAAAATCCTAACGGGTGAATTTGAAGTAAATCCAAAAGTTCGCTTGGCGATATGGTCCAAGCTGTTTCAAGGAAGTATAGTCAAACATTAAAATTATTAAACATAAATAAGTATATGGTTCTCTGGTTAACTGTATACTAAACAGGTCATCCAATCACGCCAACAATGTTTAAAGCGGGTATTTTTTAATGTGTATGAGACATATAATATGTAATGAAGTGTTAAGATAACATATTTTATGTATTTGCAAGTGGATCTAAGGTGTGAGAGTAATTTTCACTCACTACTCATCGCCTCTGATCGGCGAATTTTTAAGAGAACATACGACTTTTATATATATGATATGAATCAAATATGTCTCAAAATTCATGAAAAGATAAGTAAACAAACTAAATATGAAATAATGAATGTTTGTGTTATTTTAATTGTCCCAGCTAATTGTTTAACATATTTAGATGAGAAAACTTATAAGAAAAGTTAAGAGTAATTGTCGTTGTTCAAATAATAAGTGATAGATTAAATGTGATGAGGAGTCCATGTTTACTTAGTATTTACTAGTTGCCATAGGACAACTAATTGTATTCCATCTATCTTAATAATACTATTTTGATTTACCCATATGTATAGAGATTCGGTTGTTAGTCTTTCTTTGTAAGAATTAAAACCATTTTGTAGGATTCTTTTGCCATTAAAATCATTTGTATAACCCGACTTTACTGAGTGTAATGCTGTAGCTGATTTGTTTTCGGTCTTTTTATATCATATAAGAATTTAAGAATCTGCAGCAAGACTCGTCCATAAATAAGAGTCTCACTGAATCTGCTTTAGGTATAGTTCGTGTTCCTTCGCCTTCAAACTCAGATTTCTTGTTGTTTGACCTGCACATGTAGCATTACAATCACTACATTTGATCACACAAACACAATTTTGTTGCTTCTCAATTGAAGAAAGTTCTTATATATACTATTTGACTTGTGTACTACGTTTCACAATTGAATTAATACTAACATCGTTTTAAAAAAACTTTCTTGGGTCAGAACTTCTGACTATACTCACTGAATTCGCTGAAACCACATTAAGCAGTCCGGAAGCAAGAATTTGTATAAAAATACATTCTAAATAAATTAACTTGATCACACAGAAACTTAAGATTTATATTTGATAATACGTTTTTACTCAAACTCAGAAATTTTTCTCCATAAATAAACCGATACATTTTTCACACAATATAAACCTTGGGAGTAGATAGAGACACTCTCATGAACACTTGTACTCTATAAACTTTGACACCATGAACTACTAGACCAGTTTATTATCCTTCTAACTTTTTGTTGATATCCTTAAGGATGCTTAAATTTAAGCATTTGGAAAAGAATATATCCATGATATAACGCATAATCTTTAATAAATGAAGAATAATATGCGATGAAGACGACTAAAAATGAATGCTATCACTTTTATTTGTGAAAATACCCGTCTGGCGTGTCTCCCTAAAACATATATACAGATATATTCTTGTTGTGATCATATTCAACTAACGACATTTACGTTAAAATGCAACTGGAAATAAATTACATTAAAATTCACATTGCCAACTTTTACTGAGTTAGGTGAGTTAAAAAGAAAACACATAACACAGTGTATTGATACTAATTTCTTAGATTTGTTAACCAACCAACCGTTTGTATAGCCTCAGCCACATTAATATCACCAATGATGGATTAAAACAAATGTCTGTCCAAAACATAGTGATAAAAGCAAATGCCAAAAGAAGACCATATATTTATTCTTCAAAACCGCTCTCCTGTTCTCACTGACTAAATAAATTTCTCATCATTGATGGAGGAAGAGTTTTATTACCGACGAATATACATGAAGAGAGCACTTGGTCAGTAGGTAATTGTTTCGTAACTTATTTGTGTGTCAATAGATCTTCTGTTTCAGAAAACGAAAGAGGTTAGGGAATGACAAGTGCCGAATCGACTTTTAAAGGACCTGAAGATCGTGGTTAGGTAAAATCTGTTCTTTAGGTATATTAATGGGTAGAAAAGGTATATTAGATAATCTCAAAGAAAAAAATCGAGCCCTTGTAGCGTGGTGTCGAGTTGAGCTGAACTATGAACACCGCTACCAGACTACTTGCCAATAGACCAATAAAATTCCGATAGGCCAAAATATCAGAAGGCAGATGATTGTAGTAGTCGTATATATTTGTTGGCGATCTCGTGGTATCGAAAGAATACCGAGATCGTGCCAAAGGAGTACAGTTGCGAACGGCAAGATAAGATACGTGCGTAGTCCGAAAACCGCGTAAAAGCAATGGAATACAATGGAAGCCCAAAATGGCTGTTATTAGCACAGTTAAACAAACGAGCACAGTAAAACAGTCACTGGTACAATTGGTTATAATAATAATTGTTTTCATCGAACCAATCGTGTTCTGTTGACAAAAGTAGGTCACTACACCCTTAAGAATCAGTGTGGTCCGGAATATTCAAACGCACTACTAAATCTTTTCGTTTTTGTAAGCCTTTATTTGACTCATGATCTCCACTTTTAAAATTGCTATCGTATCGACAAAACCAATTCTGATATTAAATACGGCATTCTTTAGAATGTATTTGTAAGGCCGGTGAAAAGTGTAGTGTCTAGTACTATTCCAAGCCCACATACAACACATATTTTATACCTGTAATTTTCAAACAGCCTAACGAACACGGTTACAAGTGGTTATGTCAACAACGCTGCACCGACACAAATAGCTAGCTCTCCGTACCCTTACGAAAGTGAAGTTGTTAAAAGGAGTATTAGAACACGTAGTTAAGGTGCTATGATGATAAGGAGTATTTGAATTATAGTACGAACTAAGAATCCCAGAAATAACGCGATTGGATCAAGAAGTACATGATAAGCACGAACGAATATACTGTATTTGGAATTCGACCACTCAACAAGTGCAAAAGAATCGTTACTTCATTCAAACACCACAAATGCGTCAAATGATACTCTATCAGTCGATGCACAAATTGGTGCGAAGCTGTCTTACACAAGCTCAGAGTCAAATGACGTACATGGTGCAAAGGAGAGATGACCGACTTCAACGAGGTCTGTCAGAAATAAAACATCAAGAAACGAGCCTTCTCTTGTCTCCCATCCTCAAAATGGCAGCGGGTAGAAAACGCTTAGAAAAGTTAACCGCACAGCTAGGTCTGTTTCTACCAGGAAAAACCATTCACGGGTCATCGACAGCCATCCAGGAAGAACCAGTCTCCCAAACAGTAGTTAAGAAATCATGGGCTCATCATAGTGACAGGTCAGTTGTCTTTCATATAGTCAGGGGTAGTGAAAGCGCAGTATCAGAAACTTGCTTCGAGCATGACGTCAGATTGATAGAAGATATACTTAATCGGCTGATGCCACAAAATATCTCAAAGGTCACCTCAATGAAGGTTTGTAGACTGAGCAGCTAAAACGACTTGAAACGAAGTCAAACCAGGCTGCTAAATACATTGTTTAAAACTTTCAATGAAATGAATCTAACACTACAGAATGCGCATAAACCAAAGTAGTCAGGAGATCTTCGTCCGTAATGACTCGCCGATTCAGAACAGTATAAAACATCGATAGTCCATAAATGAACTGAAACCAAGCCTAGAGACTGATGAGAATGACCTCAAAATTGTATAATTTCGGGTGATGAGGTTTCAACATAGCACGATACGAAAGCCACATCGGGTGCAGCACAAATCCATCTCAATGGTCTTCAGATATATTGTACAAATGCTCAGAGATTACTCAGCAAGTGTTCGGAGTTAGGCGTACAGATAGACTCTAACAAGCCGTCACGAAAACTCGACTGACTCAGTCCGTAGAATGTAGCAAACCCGATTTAGAATGTTTCAAATTGGTCACAGGTGACAGAACCCAGATGCGTAAAGGAGGACGATTAGCTCCATCCATTATACTATCCCATTTACCGTTACCGATAATAAATCTCATGAAAGTGAATCAATCATTTGCCTCTTGAAATGCAAGGTACAAGAGCTGCCAATCGGTTTGGTCCAACGCAATCCAAACTGTGAGGTTAATGAGGTCTTTGCTAGACAGTTTCTACACTAGGTCATCCAGTGGTTGGTGTTTAATCTAAGAGGACCTCAACGTGCCTACGTAGAGTGGGAAACTCTGAGGACTGAGTTGTCGGAAAATCCTGGTTGATGTGGTTATCACGTGTGTCCTAGTGCAACATGTGAACAAAGCAATGATGTATGATACAAAAGCTAAATCATCCTCCCCGATGGGTCAGTTCTAGTCTTCTATTTCCTTATTGTTATCAACAACCATGTGTCAGTCGAATACAGAACAAACTTCTAGAGGGCGAATAAACACGAAATCATACGCTCGGCTTCCCAAGTTGATTGGACAATATAATCGAAATCCCACATTGAATTGGCTCAGGAGGTATTCTGAAATCTATGCGTAAAATTTACTGCACCACATGTTACCTGGACTACACCAAAGAGTCCGAGAAACTCCCCACATGGTTCAGTGAAGAGTTTCGCTACCTTCTCCGTATGAGAAGAATGTGGGAGAGATTCAGGTTACTGGATTTTGACGGGACAAGATCCCACAGTCGAGGAGCCCGAAATATTTGTGTCTCGAACCTTCTCAAGTCCAGATGTTTGTACGAAGTATAGCTTGTTAAGGAGTCCATAAAATATGCTAAACTCTTAAACTAGTACATATACTAAAGAACTCAGAGGAGAGAATGTATTCGAGTATCATGTGGAGTTGTGCTTCACCACTGGTGCAGGATGATTTTAATAAAGCTCGGATATTCCCAAATTACTTTAGTAATGTACATACTGTAGAGACGCCCTCCCCTTCAGTTCATACAACTACCCACATACACTTTGGACACTGTGACCAGTGAAGAACTCGTTGTCTTTGGTCTGCTGAACAAGATTATATACCCTCACTTATCCTGTTTTCTGAAATAGGAAACTTATGTTTACGCTCAAGAAATTAAAGCTCCATCTGTCGAGGCTTTTAAAAAAAAGACGGATCAACTAAGAGACTACTATTTCCAGGACTAACACAGGCCGCTTAGCCTCCTGTATTTTCGAAACTGAAACTTAGTTATCATCAGTATCGTGGTAACGAACATGTCAACATATCAAAAATGTACGTTACAGATTTTATTGATTCCAAAATAAAAGAGCGGAGAGTGCTGCTGATATCTAAACAAAACTCTCCAGATTGTCAAACTATTGAGGGAATTTTGAGAACATACAATCTGAATAACGAACAAGATCACAATTTTGAAGTACTGTGCATAGATTGCAGGAAGGATTGTACGACGTTAGAAACATATTTATGGCATAAGCTAATCTACCGAAACAGACAGGTGATTAATGACCTATCGCATGCTTTTTTAACCATTATCTATCATTTGATGAAATATCTATCTCGGACTTACGTTTTTTATCTTAAATTCCGATAAAAGACATGAGAGGTCCCATGACTGATGATGTACATCATCAGTCAAATTTTTATGCGTTTGTTCATAAAGTCAGCATCTCGCTTCATTAGTAATAGTTATAACCGTATATACATATACGTGGACTTTGTGTTTTTTAAATTAAGTTGCAAAAATCACCTAAATTCTTAATCAAAACATAGTGGATACGTTAAGTTTTCTGAAAGGTATGTATATTCGTCAGTTGTGTATAACTGTCGCTCTAACTATATTTTTAAATAGGGAAATATACGGTGTCAGGGAAAAGGTGGCACATTACCTATGCTTTTCCAATATTTTTAATCTTGCTACATAGGAATCCTCTTAAAGCATAAGTATTACCCTATCCAGAATTCTTGCCTACAGTATTGGATGGAAAAGTTTCACCAGAACTGTTTCTCACAATGTATGAATTCAAATATGGATCCCATTCTCGACTAAAACACTTCATCAAATAAACACCTAAGATTATGTCCGAAAAAACATGAAGTAATGGGACAAAATTTGTAAACAATTCAGGGACTTATGACGTACGAGAAGACAGAGTGAATGCACCTCTACCGTTTGAATGCTTCTAAACCATGACGCTATAACGTCAGTTACGGTACTCATCAAGTCTTCAATTAGAATTGCTAACTCAGTGGTCCCAACCTATACGACCAATGTTTCGAAGGCACCAGTGGTTGAACACTAGCAACCTACGAATATCAATTTTCAGAAGCTACGTTCCACATCCATAGAGTATACGGAGCAAACTGCTGCGCGAAATACTGTTTCAGCTGGCATACAGACAATTCTACACCACAAGTGATACGACTTATCAAACGCTGAGCTTTATAAATTTTGTCAGATAGAAGTTTGATAAGACATGAAGATAAGTGAGGTAATTTTCATACATGGTCTCAACTCAGTTGGTGGTACAATACTTAACAGCACATCTAGGTCTTACATCATGAGTAAAATCTAGGTAGACAAACTTCCCTTTACGTTATCCATGTCCACCGGAGGGATATAAACACCCAATCCCATCTTTACACACGCACAGACTATCGTGAACTCCCCAGTTGTGTCGGTGAACTTTTGCACCTTAGAAAGTGTATCTTTTCCATAACAACAGCACCTACTATTCCCAACCAATAAGTTGATTCACAAACTCTATAGGTTAATCATCAAGTGACATGGCGTAACTCTGAATCGTTTGCAGTTTAATTTGTCTAACCTTAGATCCTAAGTCACTAAATTTTTTTTGCTGCTTACACTACTCTAGTATCTCACTGTGCAAATATGTGGCGGTAACATGAAACGATTCGAGCATGTACTATGGTTTACGTTGCTTATGACTGACTAACTGATAAAGTCAACTGTATCAAAAAATTGTCTCATGAGAGTTGAGTTCCATCCAGCTAAAAAGAGACTTGGATAGTAAATGCTAGTAATGTCAAAACTTCTTTTCATAAAGCTTAAGTTCGTCTCCTGTCATTTTCTGTTGAAACAGGTTTGAAATTCTGTTGCAAATCAGTACTGAAGCTCCTTATGAAGAAAAACTGTTCCGCATATTAGTAACGTTGCTACTTCTAGAAGCTTCGCCTGGAGTCCCTCCAGGGGCTACTGCCGGTCCCAAGCCCGGTTAAAGGACGAGGGTTAGGCATGGGGTTAGCCACCTCGTCCCGTAAAAAACTAACTCGCTAAAAAAACGCCAACCAGAAAAAATAACTCAAACCATTTTAACTCTGCCCTGGGATCCAGAAGGTCTTCGTTTAGAAGAATTATGACGCCTCATGGTGAAAGCCGAGTTCCTTCGGAAGTCACGAGGCCGATGCCCCTTCTGACAACCAGAGCAACCATTTATTCAGGTACATGGAATGCTCGTAAACAATGTGGGAGACTGGGAGAGTCTTCCAAATTGCTGCAGAAATGAGATACAACCTAGAGGTGCCTGGAATCAGTGAAACACATTGGACGCAAGTTGGACAAAAACGACTAGCTTCAGGGGAGCTGCTGTTATACTTCGGATATGAACAAGAAAATGCTCCATATACAAAATGAGTTGCATTGATGCTGTCCAAACAAGCACAAAGTTCACTTATAGGATGAGAATCTCATGGACCAAGGATCATCAAAGCCTCCTTCAATCAAAGAAAGAGGGTATTACAATGAACGTCATCCAATGCTATGCGCCTACCAACGACTACAATGAAGACGCTAAAGATCAATTTTACGATAGGCTGCAGTCAATCGTCGAGAAGTGCCCAACAAAGGACCTGACCATTCTGATGGGAGATTTAAATGCCAAGGTTGGGATGGATAATAACGCATATAAAGAGATCATGGGACGACGTGGATTGGAAGAAACGAAAATGGTGAGAGATTTGCAAACCTATGTGCATTCAATAAACTGGTCATAGGCGGCACTATATTCCCACATAAACGCATACACGAAACAACATGGACTTCATCGGATCACACTACGCAAAACCGAATCGACCATATCTGCATCAACAAAAAGTTCTGGAGGACGTGAGAACCAAGAGAGCAACTGATATAGCATCAGATCATCACTTGCTGGTCGCCAAGATGAAATTGAAACTCAAGAAGCACTGGACAACGGGGCGGACAATATCACAAATGTTTAATACGGCTCTTCTTCGGGATACAGACAAACTCAACAAATTTAAGATAGCCCTCAGCAATAAGTTCCAGGCCTTTCACGACCTACTCAATGGAAAAGAAACCACTATGGAGAGCAACTGGAAAGAGATAAAAGAGGCTATCACTTCAATATTTCATGAGGTTCTGGGCCACACACAACAAGCATCATCACAAGGAATGGATCACTGGTGATACATTGGATATGATTCAAGAAAAGAGAAACAAGAAGGAAGCAATCAATACCAGCCGAACAAGAGCAGAAAAAGTCAAGGCACAAGCTGAATGCACAGAAGTAAGCAAGCAAGTGAAGAGAAGCATCAGGACCGACAAACGTAAACACATGGAAGATCTAGAAATAACGGCGGAAAAGGCTGCAATAGAAGGAACCATGAGAAAATTGTATGACACAACAAAGAAACTTGCTGGAAATTATCGTAAATCAAAACGTCCAATGAAAAGCAGGGAAGGTCAAGTAATCACCAACATTGAAGAACAACGAAACAGGTGGGTAGAACACTTTAAAGAACTCTTGAATCGATCAGCCTCTCTGAATCCACCCAACATCGAGGCAGCACTCACGGACATCGCAATCGATGTTGGCCCACCAACAATTGAAGAGATCAGCATGGCCATCAGACAAATCAAGAGCGGCAAAGCAGCGGGACCAGACAACACTCCAGCAGAGGCACTGGAAGCAGACGTAGCAGCAACTGCAAAGATACTCCACATTCTCTTCAGAAAGATTTGGGATGAGGAACAGGTACGAAAAGACTGGAAAGAAGGACTTCTGGTCAAAATACCAAAGAAAGGCGATCTCAGCAAGTATGAGAACGACGGAGGCATCACTCCTCTCTCAACGCCAGGAAAAGTCTTTAACAGGGTATTGTTAAACAGGATGAAGGACTCCTTAGACGCCCAACTTCGAGACCAACAGGCTAGATTCCGTAATGATCGATCGTGTACAGACCAAATTGCAACTCTACGGATCATTGTGGAACAATCAATTGAATGAAATTCATCGCTCTACATCAACTTCATTGTCTATGAAAAAGCATTTGACAGCGTGGACAGAACAACATTATGGAGGCTTCTTCGACACTACGGCATGCCTGAGAAGATAGTCAATCTCATATGGAATTACTTTGATGGATAGAACTACAAAATCGTTTAGGGAGGACAGTTGACAAACTCGTTCGAAGTAAAGACCGGTGTCAGGCAAGGTTGTTTACTCTCACCCTTTCTCTTTTTCCTGGTGATCGACTGGATCATGAAGATGTCAACATCTGAAGGGAAGCACGGGATACAGTGGACATCTAGGATACAGTTGGATGATCTAGACTTCGCAGATGATCTGGCTCTTCTATCGTAAAAGCAACACCAAATGCAGGAGAAGACGACCAGTGTAGCAGCAGCCTCAGCAGCAATAGGTCTAAATATACACAAAGGGAAAAGCAAGATTCTCCGGTACAACACAGCATGCATCAATCCAATCACAATTGACGGAGAGGATTTGCAAGATGTACAAATCTTTACATATTTGGGCAGCATCATTGATGAACACGATGGATTTGATGCAGATGTGAAGGCGCAGATCGGCAAAGTAAGAACATCTGGAACTCAAAACAATTGGCAACCAACACCAAAGTCAGAATTTTTAATAGAAATGTTAAGACAGAACTACAAAAGCCATCACCCAGAAGATGCAAGTCTTTATTAACAGTTGTCTACGCAAAATACTTCGGATCCGTTGGCCGGACACTATTAGCAACAATCTACTGTGAGAGAGAACAAATCAGATCCCAGTGGAGGATGAAATCAGGAAGAAGCACTCAAAGTGGATAGGACACACATTGAGGAAAACACCGAACTGCGTCACAAGACAAGTCTTCACATGGAATCCTCAAGGTCGAAGGAGGAGAGGAAGATCAAAGAACACATTATGCGGAGAAATGGAGACAGACATGAGAAAAATGAACAAGAATTGGATGGAACTAGAAAAGAATGCCCAGGACAGAGTGGGTTGGAGAGTGCTGGTCGGCGGTTTATGCTCTATTAGGAGTAGCAGGCGTAAGTAAGTAAGTAAGCTACTTTTAAAGGCAAAGATAACTGATATATATTAAAAATCAGTCGTCAGCTACTTAATATTCCCAGTCTTGTTGTCACCAGCGCATAATAAAGTTAAGAAAGATCTCAGCAAATACCCACTTTTATTGATTAAAATTTATACTAATTCCCTTATACTTATTGCTAATAATCAAATTGTTTTAATCCCCCAATATTTCCATGAACAAATCCAACTCCCACTTTCTTCTCAGGTACCACATTTATTTCTGGATGGCAAGCACATAGGAGGAGAAGCAGAAATTAAGCGTTTACATGAAAGCGGTGAAATGAAACGAATATTTAAGGAAGCAGGTCTTTGAAAACCCCTTATACTCAAAGTAACAAACTAAAGAATGTAGAAAGGAACTTATTATTACTAAACACGTCATCCAATAGAAGATTCCTATAAAATATATACCATATTGAAATTAAAGTAACGCTTTATTGATCTCACGAATCCACCCAAGAAGTAAATAATTACTCTCGTTTCAAACTTAATATACGACAATAAATTAGACAGGAAGTAGCAGCAAAACAAATCAAGTTACAATACTACAAAAAGCCATCCCGTGGCAAAGTCGAACATAAAATTCCCAAGAAATATCACACAATAATAACTGCACGTTCCATTAAAGAAAGTTCGAGTCCAGACCATTGTGTTGTTATTAACTGGTGTTAGTAAATGCTGAGTTTGTCTCATTTTGCTTGTCCCAATTACAACCAAAACAATTCAGCAGAACAATTTCGTTGAGTTCTATATTAGATACTAACGCTTACTAAACAAACTGTCTAAATATTTGAGTCGCGTCAACCGGTATAAAATTACATTTTGATAAAGTTCATGTACAGTTACTCATTAAGATCAACATATTACGATCACTATTCCTAGTAAGAAGTTAATATATAAATCCAATAACCCATACATTATTCAATTAATTGTTCATTCTCTTTCACTCAAAGTGAACTAGTATACTGTAGACTACATGACTATACTTTAAATACAAAGTTACGCAAGAAACATTTTGCGGGACAATAAAATGCTAAAATGAAAACAAAGGTAAAATTGGGCATAGATCTTAGCTCTTAAATATACAGCAACAGTATTGTTTAATCATTAACCTCTTCTAGGAGGTAAGCCACCGCGAATAGATCCAGGCTTTCCAGTAGCACAACCTCTAGTAGTAGGTAGGCTAGAACGTCTAGTAGCTCTTGGCACAGAAGCAACAGGACACCATTTTTTTCTTCGAGCCGGCCCACTAGTACATACACTATCTGATACATTTGACTGTGCAGTAGAAGGGTCGAAGGAATCCCAGACAATGGGTTGAATCTTTGGCCGAGCTGTGCTAGAATCCCCAGAGCTTGAAGGTTCTAAAAAAAATAACAAGAAGAGGGTATGGTCAGTAAGACGTTGATGACTACCAACAGTAATAGCAATCCATGAAAAATAAATCAATCAGCATAATAAAACATATGATCAGTGCTTTCGCAAGATGAATTAAAAGATTATTTAGTCTTTAAGAATACAGCGATAGAAATTCAATAATCACCTTTGGAAGCTGCAACTGAAGCAGAGAATGTAGAAGGCTTAAAAAGTAATGGAGTGGCAGTTGAACTTGGAACTGTATTCACTGGCAAAAATGATTTGAAAAGTCCTGTGCAACTACCAGACGGAAGTCCAGACTCAGTAGTAGCAACTGAGTATGGAACAGTTAATGAAGAAGGCTTAAAACCGGAGAAAAGACCAGATGAACCCAACAGTGAGCCGGAACATTTGGACAGACCAGAGTTGCTGAAGAGACTAGGAATAGATGATTCACCAAATAAACTCTTGCTAGAAGAAATAGGTTCCATCTCCGTGTTGAGAGAAGTTGGTACTTTTTCTGGAATCTGAGGAGTGGAGTCGCTTTTCTCCGTACTGTTTGTCTCACAATGTAATTGTCCATCATCTTCACCTACCCTTTCATTGCAATCACCGACATTTTCAGGTACTCCCACATCTGTAGGTGCTGTGTGTTCATTTGTTTCCTCGTTGACGTAATTGTCCACACCAGAAGAGTATTGCTCCTCAGCCTCAGCACCACGTGGCTGGATATCATCATCAGAACCACCTTAACAATATATCGGATAAAATGGGAAGTAAATCTTAATTAAATATTACCAGCTGAAGCATGATGATCATTTTATTTTTATGTAAAATTTCTTACAGTCGACATATCATAAAAATAAAAACAGTTTGACTCGTTTTATAGACACAGTGCTTTAACTATGTATTCCCTAGTAAATCAGTATTAATACATTGAGGAACTTTATAAGTAGGACAATCGGATGGAAATATGTTAAATTCGTATAGCATCTATCAAACGTATATGATACATGCTTAAAGCAAAATTACACCAAGATCATAGTATGTACATCAGTTAAGTGGAAATAATGTTTAGATTCTTTAAAATATTATGCGACACGTTAAAATTTGACAATGTAGAATTAAAGTCAGTAATATCTGTACCTATTTTGTGACAGTTCTTTAGCACATATTATTTATAAAGAGTATTATGCTGACTTATTTCCAATACAACTGATTATTTATCCATTCTCTTTTTATCTTTTGCCAAAGGAGATCTGATGGCCTTGACATTATTTGAAATTAGTAGCTGTTGTCAGTGTGAAGTACAGATTATTAGGTAATTTTTTTTCGCATAGATGATGTATCAGCTGTGAAAAAAACTGAGGAACAAATTCAAAGTATTTCATAAACGAACTTACTACTCAATTCGATTACTTCTTGTTCTCCTTCTTCCTCCTCTTCTTCATCTTCTGTATATGAATCACAATTAGCTTCATCTTCTCTTTCATACTCATCATAATCTCCTTCTTCCATGTAGTCTTCTGCTTCTCCTTCTTCAGGTACAGAACTTTCATTGTAGACAGTATCAACTTCCTGTTTACAAAGATCTTCTGTAGCAAATTCTGACGGCCTTGAAGTTGTAGGAACAGCATTAAATCTAATGTTATTATTGTTATTAACATCAAACGAGGAATCCTTTGAATCACTTTCAACATATTCATCATCCATGGATCCAGATTCACGTTGATCAGCATCGTAAAAAGCATCATTTTCCGAATAACATTCTTGCTCTTCATCAGAAGACTCGCATACCTCTTCTAGTGTACTTGATGTAGGTTTCATAGGACTAGTTAAATTTTGATCAGATGTTCGGACTTCAGACTCAACAACTTCGATATTCTTAAATACAATCAGTGAAATGAGGAAATATTATCAACAGCGAGCATTTAAAACTGAAAAACTGAAGGTAACTAACGAAAAATGCATAACGTCAAACACAATAGTAGAGAAACATTCATCCTAACACTAAATGTTGTCTTAAGACGTACAACCATCTACGTTGAAGTGACCCAACCTCTTAGGGGTCAGTTACACAACAATACAAGAAGGGTTGGTTGATAAGATGGAGGCAGTTAGAGAACAGTAATCGTTTAGTCAGAAAATATCAATACAATTTGAAATAAGTACCTATAACCCAAAGATTATATTTTCATACGGTATTTAATGTTCTCATCCATCAATGATTTAAAGCTCAGATAGAGTTATCGAATGTTATAGAATGTAAGGTAATTAAACAATATTGCTTGATACATTCAAAAGTGAAGATAGCCACTTGAAACGATGGATGATAAAATAAACACAATGGATGGATTTTATTAAATGTATAATTTATATGTGAAAATATAGGTAAACTGATATGAAGTTTCCGCTTCAAATTAATTAGCATGTCGTTTTTAATCCTTGGATATCTGGTGAACATTTTCATTTACATTTGATTGTTACTAAAAGCGTTTTTAGTTAGCAATAATTTTACTACATACAATGTGGTCTCCAAATAATTTTAAGAGAAGTTATATGGCATGAAGACAAGTTTTCTAATCTGAAAAAAGATCAATAATGGAAATGTTACGTCATAGCGTGTACGGTCAGACCTGCAGCTAAATACAAACGCATTGTAATTATTTAATTGCGTCGGTTGAAAAACAGATACTGAAGAGTAGCATTTTTGCTACTTAAGAAACAATCAGTGATGTTGACCGAGAGCTAGTTTGCAACAAACAAGGTAAATTCAGTATACCGGAATATGGGACTCCATGGTTCAATAAAGTAATAAAATAAAATCTATAACAAAACAAAACTTCTCAAGCTTACTTCAGTGTGACCATCCATCGTAGGTACATCAATTCCACCTCTCACATTTTCACCAAGCTCTTGTCCAGCAACAATATCAGAAGCTGTGGCTTGTTCTATTTCTACACCAGCTTCATTTGATGACCGTTCCACACTTTCTGAGGTTTCAAATGTTCCAGGAGTTATGATACCAGCTACACCGGTAGCGACTGTTAATGTACCTAATGTGGAGCCTATAACGATGTAGAAGTTAACAATGTGGTTAAAATGCATGTTATTTCATTTGATCATGATTATATAATACTGACCAACAAAACTGTAAATTAATATACTTGTTAAAAGCTACGACAAAATATAAACTAATGATACTGTTACAGCTAAAAACCGTTATTCACTATTGACAAGATAAAACACTTATAGACTTTTAAGCATCCTAACGAAATTCGACTTCTCTAATTAATTATTAGTTCACAAATACAGCACACAATAACTGAATAAGTACTAGCCACGATTTTCAAATAACCCGAGTAAAGTTGAGGAAAGTGGTGATGAATTCAGATGACACTAAAACACTTGATCACTAATCTTTTAAATATGTAGATTCTAACTAACATGCTTGTAGTGTATATTACACAAAATTAGAAGAGTTGTACTTTCAGTTAATACTAACCTTCACTCAAAAACTAGAGGAACATCAGAGTAGATAACTGATTGTCAACTTATATTGCTACATCACAATTTTGTTTAAGTGTACATCTTATTAAGTTGAAGTTAGATGATCAAGTTGGTCAAGCATAATAAACTTCATTTTAAAAATATATAGTTAATAAAAATACATACAACAATAACTTAATAATACATCTTTTCTTTATCAGTTACTGTCGAAATGCAAATGAATGAGAACATATTGAGGATAACAACACACTAACAAAGTATCTCGATTAACGGTTTCGTAAAAAATTGAGTCCAAGGAAACAAGCATCTGACTTACTACTGGGTTCTTGTTGTCCAGCAACTAAACGAGAAGCAGTTGCATGTAACGGAGTTGTAGCAGGTGCACTGATACCAAAGGGTGATCTACCAAGGACAATTGGACTAGGACTTGCCTGGGTAAAAGATATTGATGTGCTGGGACCACTGACCACTGCCTGACGTATACGCTTAGATTCAGAAGGAATAGAGCTGGGGTTAAGTTGTTGCTGATAGAAATGGTTAGTGTTAATGGCTGATAAAAACGAGTTTTCATTATTTCTAGAAACTTCATTTGTTGAAACCATGTTATCATCTACTGGTGGTATAATATGAAGCATTGAGTCCACAGTACTGCCTGAACAACTTTCTTCGAATCGACGTTTTCCAGTTATGCTAACTGTAGTCGAACGAGATGCTGAAGTTGGAACGCTGGAAGAACAAGCCGGAGTTAAGATGTTACTTTGAGGCTGGTTAAGGATATTACCTCGGCGTAGAAATGTATTTCGCAATAGAGACGCAGCTATAAATGAAAACAAATAGTATGTTTTCAGCAACGAGCTGAGAAACATTTATTTTTACTATAAAATACATCAAGGAATATATAGTCATTCTCCAA